TCCGTCGCCTGGTGGGGAGTCTCGGGAGCATCTATCCTGTGTCCAGGGATTTTGCGGGAGAATCGGGACACGGATCAGCACTCCTGTCAGATGCCAGGATCTGGGCTGCACCGACCACGGGTGCAGCAGGATGGCTGGCATTGTCGTAAGTGCCCGATAAGCATTAGCGGTTACTAGTTCACCTCTTCCTTTCTTTAAAAACGTCGTGGGCCGAAACCGGTGTGGCTCAGTGGATAGAGCGTCGGTCTGCGGACTGAAAGGTCCCGGGTTCGACTCCGCTCAAGGGCATGGACCTTGGTTGCGGGCACATTCCTGATAGAGGGTGTGCAAGAGGCAGCTGGTCGATGTTTCTCTCTCATCGACGTTTCTAACTCTCTCTCCCTCTCCCTTCGTCTCTGTAAAAAATCAATAAAACATATTTAATAAATAAATGAATAAATAAAAACGTGGTGGGCAAACTCAGGAGTCCACAGAGCCAAATACCAACAGCACCACGATGGACATGTCTATGGAGAGCCACATTTTTTTTTAAACGTAAACGTCTTCCCACACCACCTCTTCCACACAGACTCGCCCGGGGCCGCGGTATTTAGAGGAAGAGCCAACCTCAAGGGGCCAAAGAGCCGCATGCGGCTCGAGAGCTGCGGTTTGCCGACCACGGCCCTAACCGGTGTGCTCAGTGGACAGAGCATCGGCCTGCGGACTCAAGGGTCCCAGGTTCGATTCCGGTCAAGGGCATGCGCCTTGGTTGCGGGCACATCCCGTAGGAGGCATGCCGGAGGGGGCTGATCGATGTTTTTCTCCCTTCGATGTTTCTGACTCTCTATCCCTCTCCCTTCCTCTCTGTAAAAAATAAAAATAAAAATAAAAATCAGTAAAATATGTTTAAAACATTTTTAAAAATTGACTTCAGAGAGGAAGGGCGAGGGCGAGAGAGCAACATCCACGGTGAGAGAGACTCATGGACGGGCCTGTGCGCTGGCCGGGATGGGACCGTTATCTCCTGGGTCAAAGGTCAAGGCCCGCCTCCAAAACTGTGCGGAAAAGCAGACGGTGCGGAGGAAAGCGGCTGTCGGAGGGCGGTCAGCGGGGAGCGGGCCCGGCGGAGAGGAAGCCGCCCGGAAGCCGAGCCAGAAGGAGCGCCGCCCGGCCAGGAGCAGCTGGAGGAGCCGGGGCGCGGCCGGGGGTCCCCGGGGCGCAGGGAGGGGCGCCGTCCGCGGCCGCGGGGCCCGGGGTGTGGGGTTCTGGGCACCCTCCCGGGCGGGGAAACTGAGTCAGGGCGCTTGGCGCGCGGGGTGCGGGGAGGGGTCGGGTCCGAGGACCGTGCGGGACCCGGGTTGGGGGGGGGGAGGCGGCAGTTGTCCAAACAGCGGGCGTCGCACCTCAGTCCATCTTCGTAGCCGAGGGACCCCCTCCCCTGCGCGCCCCCCTCCCTTGCGCGCCCCCCCCCGTGCGTCCCCCTCCCCTGCGCGCCCCCCTGTGCGCCCCCCTCCTGCGTGCCCCCCTCCCCTGTGCGCCCCCCTCCCTGTGCCCCTCCTCCTGCGTGCCCCCCTATGCGCCCCCTCCCTGCGCGCCCCCCTCCCCTGCGCGCCCCCCTCCCCTGCGCGCCCCCCTCCCCTGCGCGCCCCCCCTGCGCCTCCCTCCCTGCGGGCCCCCGCCCACCCATGAAATAAAAACATGTTGAGTCCTTAATAATCAAAGTTTTAACAATTATGTCTGCTCTCTCTCTGTTCATTGGCAACTCATGAATTTTTTTCAGAGGACAAAGTTACCAGGAATACTTTTTGACTAGGAATATCCAATGAGCCTCAAAACGAGGCCCTAGGATTCGTCCACAACAGACGACTGAAATCTTCGGAGGACGGACGTCTGCCGTCTTGAATCGTGTAGCTTTTGGCTCCAAGAGGAGAAAAAATAAAATGTGCTGGATGCATCCCTCCAGGGACAGATTCAAGGACTGGGCTCACCAGGCGAGGCAGATGGAGTTCTGAGGGGAAGATGGCAGCTTCTGGAGCTAATGCAGTGGAAGGGCTGTGTGACCTTTTCACGGCTGCATGCATGAAACATGACGATCCGTGTCTGCGAGCGCTTAGCAGCTATCTAATCTCATCATTTCCGTCAGCGTTCCACAGAAATGCTCCTTCCTTTTTTAAAATATATTTTATTGATTTTTTTTTTTACAGAGAGGAAGAGAGAGGGATAGAGAGTTAGAAACATCGATGAGAGAGAATCATCCATCAGCTGCCTCCTGCACACCCCCCAATGGGGATGTGCCTGCAACCAAGGTACATGCCCTTGACCGGAATCGAACCTGGGACCTTTCAGTCTGCAGGCCAATGCTCTATCCACTGAGCCAAACCGGTTTCGGCTATTTATCTTATTTATTTATTTATTTTATTTAATTATTTTATTTTATTTTATTTTATTTCATAGTATAATTTTATTGATTTTTTTTTAATGATCAATCGTAATGTGCTCCGGATCGCCCAGGCGGGATGGACAGAATCAAGACGGACCCAGCCCTCCTTTGCGTGGCCAGCCCCTGGCCCCTGCGTGCCGAGCTGGCCCATCTCCCAGGGGCTGGGTGAGATCAGTCCATCTTTGCAGTAGCTCCGGGGCTGCCCCGCAAACACCCCATGGCCAGGGCGACTTGGGTGTCAGCAGCTCAGGGAGGCGGGAGGGAGGGCGACCGGGAGGCTGACAGCTGACACCTCGCTTGGTCTCACCTGATAAAGGCCTGGCTCAGAGAGGAGCGGACGGAGATGGTGTTACGTCCGCCCGCCTTGGCCCAGGAAAGGGGGAGCGGCTGGAGCTGGGGGTGGGGGTGGGGAGGGTCTCTTCCGTCTGCTGGCAGGGAGGGGCTCCACATGGTGGGGACGTTTGGTGTCAGCCTGTCAGAGCTGTGCGATGGGGGATGTGAGAGAGGAGGCGCGATGGGGGGCTCAGAGCACAGGCTCTCTAGGCCCCAGAGTCTCGGGGACCCCCACCCCCCTGGGCAGAGGAAGCTGAGGGGCCGCTCTCCGCAGTGAAAATGAGGGCAGACCCGTCGGGGGCTCCGCTGTTTGGAAAGATCAGCCTGGAGCCGGCTCCTCTGGGTCACCCATCGCTCACCGGGGCGGCCGCTGAAAGATGCGTGAGCCACTCGGCCGGGGCCCAGCCCTCAGCGGCCCCCGCACCCCCACCCCGGGGTGCTGGGGGGCGCTCAGAGGGCGGTCAGGTTTGTGTGCAGCCCCTTCTGTGGAGACAGACAGTGGTCTGTGAGCAGGAGCGGCGCCGGGGAGGGGCTGCGTGGAGTCTGGGAGCGACTCCTTGGGCGTCAGACTCCCCCCGGAGGAGCGCCCAGGCCGGGCACCCCGAGGGAACAGGCGTCGGTGGGGAGCTGGTCAGGGATTGGCCAACAGGGGGCATGGGTTGTGGGTCATGTGACATGGCACTGGATGCCATGTGTGCATGTGGTGTGCACACATGATACACACATATGGTGCATGCAGACGCACACATGCACATTGTATGCACACACATGCACACACACGATGCACACACGTGCGATCATGTGGCATATGCATACATGTAATCACACGCACGATGTATATGCACACACAAGATGTATATGCGCACACATATACATAAGAGAGACACACGTGTGTGGTATGTACGAACAGTTGCATACATGCATGTATACACATGTGGTGTGTGCGCGTGTGTGTGTGTGGATCCCTGTGGGCTCCGGGAGCCCCCTCAGGACAGAAGCTGCGTCGAGTCTCGGCTGAGGCTGCTCTGGCTCCCGGTGGCCGTGACCTCTGGGCCGTGACCTCTGGGCCGGTCCGGGTGCTGGGGTTCAGGACGGCATGGGGGGGACCGGGCAGCTCAGACAGTGACAGCGCCCTCTGCCCTCCGAGGGGCGGGAGGATCCGCTGGGTCCACCTCGCCGAGCGGGCGGAGAGTGCTGATGCCGCGGTCCGGGAGCCGCCTGCCGGGGTGGCTCCGTGTGCCAGCTGGCGGGCGGGCCTCCCCCCGCCGGGCCAGCTGCTCTGGGGCAGGAGCGCGGTACCTTCCCCGGATCGTCAGAACCTCCGAACGGGGCGACCCGGCGCTGAGCTGGCCTCCAGAACTCGTGGCGTCCTCCAACCCAGGTCCCAGGCCCCGCAGGACCTGAGGCTCATTTATTTTTATTTTATTTTCAAAAATATATTTTATTGATGTTTTTACAGAGCGGAAGGGAGCGGGACAGAGAGTCAGAAACATCGATGAGGGAGAAACATCCATCAGCTGCCTCCTGCACACCCTCCACTGGGGATGTGCCCGCCACCAAGGCCCATGCCCTTGACCGGAATCGAACCCGGGACCCCTCCAGTCCGCAGGCCGACGTTCCATCCACTGAGCCGCACCGGTTTCGGCTGAGGTTTATTATATTTATTTTAAGCATATTTTTATTGATGTCAGAGAGGAAGGGAGAGGGAGAGAGGGATAGAAGCTTCCTTGATGAGAGGGAATCCTGGACCGGCTGCCTCCTGCACGCCCCACACTGGGGGATGGAGCCTGCCACCTGGGCCTGTGCCCTGACCGGGAATCGAACCCTGGCCTCCTGGTTCCTAGGTCGACGCTCAATCCCTGAGCCACGCCGGCCGGCCGGGCGAGATCTGAGGTTTCAGGCACTGTTTCCTCTCTTCCCAGGCCACCAGGCTTGCTTGCCACCCGCGGCGGCTGCATCTTTCCCGTGTCAGCGGCGGCTGGCACGGACACCGACCGGCTACATGAGACGGGAGGCCGGCCCGGCTCAGGTTCCTCTTCCAGGCCCTGGCGGGGAGGAGCCCCAGCCGCCTGCCTCCGGGGCCAGAAAGCGCGGCCTTGACCCTGGAGGTCTGAGGAGCAGCCCCGAGGCTGGGAGCCCGCTTCCCGGGAGCACGGCAGCCTCGCCCCTCGCCCCTCGCCCCTGGGGGCCCCCCGAGGCCCAACGCACAGCCTGGTGGCGAGAGGGGGGACCCCAGGCTTCTCTGGGGACACTGGGTGTCGGGGGGGGGCAGCGCCCACCCATGGATGGTCCTGAGGCCCCAGGTCCTAGCCCAGATGCCGCCTGCAAAGAAGGAGCCAGGGGCACCCCGACAGAAGGCCAGCCGGCCCCAGAGGAGGCGCGTGTCCCCTCGGCCCCCGACGCCGGCCCTCCCCCTGCCTTCACCTCCAGCTTCAGCTTCATCCGGAGCTCGCTCTGTTCGGCCCCCGGGGAACCGGGAGAGGCAGAGGGCTGCCCGCCTGCCAGGAGGGCCGAGGGCGCGGGGGCCAGAGCCGCCAGCCCTGAGGGGCCCCCCCAGGACCCTGGACGTCTCCCTCCCCCGGATCGCCCCGGGGGCGAGGGGGCCGCCGGCCGCTGGGACCCGCTGCTCCGGGAGTGCGAGCCCCTGCTGCAGGGCTGTCTGCTCGGCCTCCGCCGGCGGCTGGAGGTGGGTGTCCCCGCCCGGGCCCCCGGCCACAGGCTCCGATGAGCTCCGGGCGGGCAGAGGGCGGGAAGCGGGGTGGGGGGTTCTGGGGGTGACCGACTCCCCCACCCCCACCCCTGCAGCGGCTGCACACCTGCCTCCTGCTTCTCCTTTCCCCTCCGAACCACCTCTGTTCTGCTTTCTGCTTCTCCGCCTCCGAGGAGCTCAGATTTGCTGTCTGTTGGGGCCGAGGGCTCCCCTTCCCATCCAGGCCTAGGGCCGTGGTCGGCAAACACTTTAGTCCACAGAGCCCAATGTCAGCAGCACCCTGAGGCCCTCAGCTTCCTTGTTCTTCTTATTTATTTATTTATTTTTATTTTGTAAAAGAAAATATACATATATTATCAATTTTTTTTTTTTACAGAGAGGAAGGGAGAGGAAGAGAGAGCCAGAAACATCGATGAGAGAGAAACATCCTTCAGCTGCCTCCTGCACACCCCCCACTGGGGATGTGCCCGCAACCAAGGCACATGCCCTGGACAGGAATCGAACCCGGGACCCTTCAGTCCGCAGGCGGACGCTCTATCCACTGAGCCACACTGGTTTCGGCTGGCCAGAGATTCCTGACATATTACCTTCCTCCGTTTCGTCACGGCCAGCAGAGCTGTGTACCTGACGATGGCGGGAGAGGGCTCATCCTTAGTTCAGAGCCTTGGGGGCTCCTTGCTCCTGGGGGGCGGCACCCCAGTTCCTTATCCTGATCGTTGCGGTCTTTCCCCCCTACCCCCCCAGCCCGCCCGCCTCGGGGTGCCTTCCTCCCGCGGGGCCATCTGGAGACCCGCTTCCTGTCCGCAGACCCGGGCAGCTGCGCCTCCGGCCTCTGCTCACAGCTCTGCCTCCGCCTGGAATTTCCTTCCTCCCCTGCCCACCTGCCCGCCCTGTGTGTCCCTGCTGGGGGCGGAGGGGGGGGCGCGCTGAAGCCACTTCCCTGTGCGACATTTCCTGCCCCTCTGCCCCCAGCGAGTCCCCCCTTCCATTCTGTTCCCGAAGCACTTTTCTATTTTATTTTATTTTTTGTTTATTTATTTTTAAAATCTATTTAATTAAATTGATTAATTAATTTTTTTTTTACAGAGAGGAAGGGAGAGGGACAGAGAGTTAGAAACATCGATGAGAGAGAAACATCCATCAGTCGCCTCCTGCACACCCCCCCACCGGGCATGTGCCCACAACCAAGGTACATGCCCTTGACTGGAATCGAACCCGGGACCTTCCAGTCCGCAGGCCGACGCTCTATCCACTGAGCCACACCGGTTTCGGCCCCAAAGCACTTTGAACACGTCCCTGTGACAGCTCTCGCCACGCCCAGTGACAATTTTTTAAAATATATTTTTATTGATTTCCGAGAGGAAGGGGGAGGGAGAGAGGGAGACATCAATTGGGAAAAATGTGCATCGTGGCTCCCTTTTTCCAGGAGGATAAGGAGGGTGCGTTGTGCAGTAGTTTAGGAGAGCAAGTTGGCTTGAGTGCCGTTGTCATTTGCTTTTTTCCTTCTCTCTTCCCCGAAAACAACCAGGTGAGCGCTGTACGACGGGAGCTCCAGAAGCTCCAGGAAAAGGCCATGGAGGAGGAGGATTACGATAAGGGTGAGTTCGGCTTGTGGATCGGCTGTTCCCTCTTTTCCAGAATGTTCCGTGTCTCACTCCCTTCCCGCCTGGATTGGCTGCCTGCCCCCCAGCTGAACTGGGCATCCACTTCCTCTAGACATTCTGCTCGGCGACAATAGGCTCGTTCTTTTTATTTATTTATATATATTTTATTGATTTACGGGAGGAAGGGAGAGGGCGAGGGAGAGAAACAGCAGTGATGAGAGAGAATCATGGATCGGCTGCCTCCTGCACGCCCCTCACTGGGGATGGAGCCCGCAATCCCAGGCCTGTGCCCTGACCGGGAATCGGACCGTGACCTCCTGGTTCCTAGGTCGACGCTCAGCTGCTGAGCACAGGCCCGGGTGGTGGGCTCCATCCCCAGTGTGGGGCGTGCAGGAGGCAGCCGGTCCAGGATTCTCCCTCTTCATGCATGTTTCTCTCTCTCCCTCCCTCTGCCTTCCTTCCTTAAATCAACTTAAAAAATAATAATAAAGCCGAGACTGGATTGGCTCAGAGGATAGAGCGTCGGCCTGCAGACTGAAAGGTCCCAGGTTCAACTCCAGTCAAGGGCATGGACCTTGGTTGTGGGCACATCCCCAGTGGGGGGTGTGTGTGTGTGTGTGTGTGTGCAGGAGGCAGCCCATCCAGGATTCTCCCTCTTCATGCATGTCTCTCTCTCTCCCTCCCTCTGCCTTCCCCTCTGACATCAGCAAAAATCAATAAAAAACAAAAACGTGTGGGGGTGACAGGGCGATAACATCAGGTCCCCGGGCTCCCAGCAGCAGCTGGCACCCCCCGAGCGCCTCGCCTGACGCCCGGGAGAGGCGACAGGGACGGGCGGGCCCCGGGCAGAGGGATGCGGTGACATCCCCCCGCAGACACGGCGGGCGGCCTGTGGGGCTCCGTGACCTTTCCCGGCTGCGACAGGGAGGGAGCGGAGGGACCGTTTTCCGCTTGACCTTTTCAGCGTGCGTCCTCCTGTCTCCCAGGGAAGTGAGTGACCGCCGAGCGGTTTGGGGGGGACCGAGCCGCCCCTGGGCTCCGGAAGGAGGCGGCTGTCCCATCCCCAGGGCGGCTTGGGAATGGCCACTGCCCCGTCCATCGCTGCCGGCTCACGTGCAGAATTCGTTTCCCGGGGGCTTGTCCTTTTTTTGTTTTGTTTTGTTCATCCTCACCCAAGGATGTTTTTCTTTTCTTTTTTTAAAAAAAAATATTTTATTGCCGAAACCGGTTTGGCTCAATGGATAGGGCGTCGGCTTGGGGACTGCGGGTCCCGGGTTTGACTCCGGTCAAGGGCATGTATGATACCTTGGTTGTGGGTACATCCCCAGTGGGGAGTGTGCAAGAGGCAGCTGGTCGATGTTTCTCTCTCATCGATGTTTCTAACTCTCTATCTCTCTCCCTTCCTCTCTGTTCAAAATCAATAAAAAATATACTTAAAAAAATATTTTATTGATTTTTTTACAGAGAGGAAAGGAGAGGGATAGAGAGTCAGAAACACCGACCAGCTGCCTCCTGCACACCCCCTACTGGGGAGGTGCCCCCAACCAAGGTGCATGGCCTTGACTGGAATGGAACCCGGGACCCTTCAGTCTGCAGGCCGACGCTCTATCCACTGAGCCAAACTGGCCAGGGACCATGGGCTCCTTTTTTAAGAAAAATATATTTTATTGATTTTTTTTTACAGAGAGGAAGGGAGAGGGATAGAGAGTCAGAAACATCGATGAGAGAGGAACATTGACCAGCTGTTTCGGCTGTTCTCCTTTCTGCTGAGCCCTCCTTCCCCCCCTCCACACGGCCCAGGTGCTCCCCGTGGGTTTTCCAGCGCCAACAGCAGCGCGCTTCACGGTCAAGGCTCTCCTGTGTCCGTCCGTCCCACCAGGAGCTGCTCCGGGACCCATTGCTCTGGCGCCGCCATGCCTGCGGCCGCAAACACCCAGGCCCCGCTTCCTGCTAAGGCCCTGGTCGGCAAACCGCGGCTCTCTGGCCCCTGGAGGGCGGCTCTTCCACAAAACACCACGGCCTGGGCGAGTGTGTGTGGAAGAAGTGGCGTTAGGAGAAGTTCAAGTTTAAAAAACGTGGCTCGCCAAAGACATGTCCATCGTGGTGCTGTGGATAGCGGGCTCTGTGGACGGATGAGTTTGCCCACCCCTGGCCCGGAGGACAGACCCTGGGCGTGCAGCTGGGAGGCCCCGGGTTGGCTGCGCTGAGTGGCGTGGACCTTCGCTGCTCTCTCATCGTTTTTGTGTTTCTAGTGGAGGTGCTCCAGCACAGATTGGAGGCCCTGGAGGAGGAGGAGGAGGAGGAGGAGGAGGAGGAGGAGGAGGAGGAGCTCAGTCTGCCCTTCCAGCTCCCCTCCAGGCAGCCGGCCCTCCGCAGCCTCCTGGTCCACCTGGGAGCCCAGGCCGAGGCCGCCCTGCACCGGGCGGCTCAGCAGTAAGTGTGTGTGGGGGGGGCACCACCTCTCCTCGCCCCCTCATCTCCTTCTCTCAGCCCAGGGAGGGAGGCGCTGGGAGGGGGGTGAGCTGGGGAGACCTGCTGGCCGGTGTGGCTCAGTGGATAGAGCGCCGGCCTGTGGACCAAAGGGTCCCAGGTTCGATTCCCGGTCAAGGGTATGGACTTGGTTGCAGGCACATCCCCAGTGGGGGGTGTGCAGGAGGCAGGTGATCGATGCTTCTCTCTCATCGACGTTTCTAACTCGCTATCCCTCTCCCTTCCTCCCTGTAAAAAAAAAAATCAATGAAATATATTTTAAAAATAAATTTTTATTGATGTCAGAGAGGAAGGGAGAAGGAGAGAGAGAAACATCCATGATGAGAGAGAATCATGGACCGGCTGCCTCCTGCATGCCCCCCACTGGGGACCACCGAGCCCACAACCCAGGTCCACACCCTTGACCGGAATTGAACCTGAGACCCTTGAGTCCGCAGGCCGACGCTCTCCCCACTGAGCCACACCGGTTAGGAGGCTCCTCACACGCTTGTCGACCTGAGCGTCCCAGCTTCCCCATACCCGTGCCGACACGCCCGTTTAATTTTTAAGGCCGGGCGGCCAGGACCCCCACAACCCCCTTTGCGAGGAGCCCCCCGCCGAGGACCTCCCGGATGTGTCCGTCGCCAGACGAGACCGGCTTCTTCAAGAGAAGCAGCAGCTGCAGGTAAGCAGGTGAAGAATGTTCCAGAAATGGGAGGCAGGCCTGCCTGGCGGCGGCGTGGCTCCGTGATGGAGCGTCGACCTAGGAACCAGGAGGTCAGGGTTCGATTCCCGGTCAGGGCACAGGCCCGGGTGGCGGGCTCCATCCCCAGTGGGGGGCGTGCAGGAGGCGGCCGGTTCATGAGTCTCTCTCATCATGGATGTTTCCATCCCTCTCCCATCCCCTTCCTCTCTGAAATCAAGAAAGAAATTAAAAATATATATATATTTTAAAATATATTTTTATTGATTTTGTGCAGAGAAGAAGGGAGAGAGCTAGAAACATCGATGAGAGAGAGTCATCGATCAGCTGCCTCTTGCACACCCCCTACCGGGGATGTGCCCGCAACCAAGGTACATGCCCTTGACCGGAATCGAACCCGGGACCCTTCAGTCCCCAAGCCGACGCTCTATCCACTGAGCCACACCGGTCTCGGCAAGAAAAATATACTTTAACAAAAGAACTAGGAAGGCTTTTCCTTACCCGTTTAGGCTGAAGGCAGAGAGCGGTTCTCGGCGTGGGTGGTGATTGGCAATCGGCTGTTCCCGAGAGAGCAAAGGGCAGACACGGGGGAGGTGATGGCTGGGCCGGCAGGAGCGTGTCCGATGGCGCTTGTCACCTTGGCCAGCGCCTCCCCGCCTGCCGGGCCGCTGTGTCCTCCCAGGCCGGAGGAAACCGCTTAGGAGATTCCTCTCGGGCGGGACTGTGGGCAGCTGTGGGCAGGAGCCTTGGACTGAGCACCCAGCTCCGTCCGAAGCACGCACAGGCTCACCGCGAACGCCCCCTCGTCCCCCGCAGGAGGAGATGGCGGCCCTGCAGGCCCGGATGTCCATGCTGGCAGCGAGGGACCGGCAGCTGAGCAGGGAGCTGGCCCTGCAGCAGCAGCAGCAGCAGCGCCTCCGGTGGCCGGACTGTGACCTGCGGCCCCTGCTGGACGGGCTGACCCCGGGCGAGCTGCAGGAGGTCCGCCAGGCGGCCAGGGACGCGCTGGCCCCGGCCGGGCAGACCCCCCTCCCTGCAGGGCCTCCTGAGACCACAAGGAGGTACAGTGACGCCCCGACACTTCCATCGCTCCCCTGAGCCCGTGTGTGTGTGTGGGCTTTGTCTGCTGTACTCCTTGTGTATTGTACAGTATTTTCCAAACGGAGCTGAAGGTCTTAGTTTTGTAAAAGTATATATTTATTTATTTTATTGTTTTTAAAAATATATCTTATTGATTTTTTTTTTTTTTTTTTTTTTTACAGAGAGGAAGGGAGAGGGATAGAGAGTTAGAAACATCGATGAGAGAGAAACATCCATCAGCTGCCTCCTGCACAGCCCCCACCGGGGATGTGCCCACAACCAAGGTCCATGCCCTTGACCGGAATCGAACCTGGGACCCCTCAGTCTGCAAACCGACGCTCCGCCACTGAGCCACACCAGTTTCGGCTGTTTAGTACATTCTGTTGAATAGCGTTCTGCTAAAAATAGCCTGCGAGCCCCTGGCAGGGGGCACGGATGATTCTGGTTCCCCTGCCCGCCGCCTGCCCCCCCCCCCACCCCCCCGGGCTCGTTCTGTGCCTACCCCAGGGATGCTGCGAATGTGAGCATTAGCCGGAGCAAGACATAATTAGGCAGGTAAATCTACCGCGAGACGTAATGCGGCATAAATTACATAAATTAGACACAAATCAGGTCACACGGAAAACACCGCCGTCAATTATTCGCCCCGCCGCCTCCCTGCTCTCCCGCGTCTCCGAGGGAGGCAGTGTTTCCCAAACTTCTGGCATACGTGTCCCCCTTCTATAATTTCCGTGACGCCGAGTCTCCCTCGTGCTCATGAGAACATAGAATGAGGCGCCGTTAAGCACGGTGCAGTGCATATCCCCACCAAACTCCCTCCCTCTCTCTCTCTCTCGCTCTCTCTCGCTCTCTCTCGCTCTCTCCCAGCCTCCAGGGAAAGCTGGAAGCCCTCAGCCGGTCCCTGAAGGAGCTCAGTGCCAAGGTGAGGCCCCCCGATGCCCGCTTCCCAAAGAGACCGCGCTGGGCTGCCCTCCCGCCGTCCCCGACGGGGCCTCAGTGTGTGTCTCCCCCCCCCCCCCCAGGTGTGCGGCTCCCAGAGGCTGTGCGGCTCCCTGCGCAGGAGCCTGCGGGAGATCGAGGCCCCGCTCCCGGCGCTGCTGGAGGCCAAGGCGCTCGCTGTGGCAGGTAACCGGCTCCGGGGACCGCGGTCGCCGTTGCTTTAAGAGTCGAGGGCACCACGGGCTCGGTGTCCTTCTGGCCGAGGGTTCTGCCGCGTGAGGTGCCCGTAGGGGCTCGGCGAGGCGGCCGGGGGCACCGGTGACGGACCCCCTGTCTGGACAGGGGCTTAAAAAAAAAAAAAACCACCTGAGCCCCGGCTGGTGTGGCCCAGTGGGTAGAGAGTCGGGTTAGATTCCGGCCAAGGGCACAAGCCCCGGTTTCTCTCTCTCCCTCTCCCTTCCTCTCTGACATCACTAAAAAAAATATATTAAAAAACCCCCACAAAACTGCTGAAACCGGTTTGGCTCAGTGGATAGAGCGTCGGCCTGCAGACTGAGGGGTCCCGGGTTCGATTCCGGTCAAGGGCATGGACCTTGGTGGCGGGCACATCCCCGGTGGGGGGCGTGCAGGAGGCAGCTGGTCGACGATTCTCTCTCATCGACGTTTCTAACTCTCTATCCCTCTCCCTTCCTCTCTGTAAAAAAAAAAATCAATAAAATATATTTTTTTTAAAAGGGAAAACACAAAAACAAAAACAGCAACAGCTCCTTCCCGCTGGGGATGCGGGAGGCTGACGTCCCCGTCTCTCCATGCCCCGCTGCAGCAAACCGCTCCCGGGCGGCCAAGGCGCTGGCCGAGGCGGGAGGGCTGGGGGGCGCCTGGCCGGGGGGCGGCGGGAGGGCTGGGGGGCGCCTGGCCGGGGGCTGGCCTGGCAGGGGGAGGGCTGGGGGGCGCCTGGCCCGGGGGCTGGCCTGGCAGCGGGAGGGCTGGGGGGCGCCTGGCCCGGGGGCTGGCCTGGCAGGGGGAGGGCTGGGGGGCGCCTGGCCTGGGGGCTGGCCTGGCAGCGGGAGGGCTGGGGGGCGCCTGGCCCGGGGGCTGGCCTGGCAGGGGGAGGGCTGGGGGGCGCCTGGCCCGGGGGCTGGCCTGGCAGGGGGAGGGCTGGGGGGCGCCTGGCCCGGGGGCGGCGGGAGGGCTGGGGGGGCGCCTGGCCGGGGGCTGGCCTGGTAGGGGGAGGGCTGGGGGGCGCCTGGCCCGGGGGTGGCACTGGGAGCGGCGGGAGGGCTGGGGGGCGCCTGGCCCGGGGGCTGGCCTGGCAGGGGGAGGGCTGGGGGGCGCCTGGCCTGGGGGCTGGCCTGGCAGCGGGAGGGCTGGGGGGCGCCTGGCCCGGGGGCGGCGGGAGGGCTGGGGGGCGCCTGGCCGGGGGCTGGCCTGGCAGGGGGAGGGCTGGGGGGCGCCTGGCCCGGGGGCTGGCCTGGCAGGGGGAGGGCTGGGGGGCACTGGCCTGGCAGGGGGAGGGCTGGGGGGCGCCTGGCCCGGGGGCTGGCCTGGCAGGGGGAGGGCTGGGGGGCGCCTGGCCCGGGGGCGGCGGGAGGGCTGGGGGGCGCCTGGCCGGGGGCTGGCCTGGCGGGGGGGGGGCTGGGGGGCGCCTGGCCCGGGGTGGCACTGGGAGCGGCGGGAGGGCTGGGGGGCGCCTGGCCCGGGGGCTGGCCTGGCAGGGGGAGGGCTGGGGGGGCTGGCCTGGCAGCGGGAGGGCTGGGGGGCGCCTGGCCCGGGGGCTGGCCTGGCAGCGGGAGGGCTGGGGGGCGCCTGGCCTGGGGGCTGGCCTGGCAGCGGGAGGGCTGGGGGGCGCCTGGCCGGGGGGCTGGCCTGGCAGCGGGAGGGCTGGGGGGCGCCTGGCCCGGGGGCTGGCCTGGCAGGGGGAGGGCTGGGGGGCGCCTGGCCCGGGGGCGGCGGGAGGGCTGGGGGGCGCCTGGCCGAGGGCTGGCCTGGCAGGGGGAGGGCTGGGGGGCGCCTGGCCCGGGGGTGGCACTGGGAGCGGCGGGAGGGCTGGGGGGCGCCTGGCCCGGGGGCTGGCCTGGCAGGGGGAGGGCTGGGGGGCGCCCGGGCCCTCGCCTCGCGGGCGGCGCCGGCTGCAGCGGGAGCTGGGCCGCAGGAGGCTGCGCACGGTAAGCGCCTCCGCCGTCGCCGTGAGATACCCCCGAGCTCGACCGTGTCCCCGGGCCAGGCAGGCCGGGCCGGGCGCCCAGGGGAGGTCCCCGAAGCGTGGCCTGGATCTCACACACACACACACACACACACGTACACACACACACACGTACATACACCACACACACGTACACACACACGTACATACACCACACACACACACGTACACACGTACACACACCACACTCACACACACACACGTACACACACCACACACACGTACACACACACACTCACACACACATGTACATACACCACACACTCACACACACACGTACATACACCACACACACGTACACACACACGTACATACACCACACACACACACACACACACACACGTACATGCACCACACACTCACACACACACGTACACACACACACACACACGTACATACACCACACAGTCATACACACACACACACACACACACACACACACCTCCCGGGAGGAGTGCTGGCCAGGAGCCTGGGCGGACGGGGAAGAGGGACTTGGCAGCTTTTGCTCTGTGGTTCTATGTGGTCCTCCCTTTTGCTGTCGAGGGCCGGGGTCCATGCCCTTTTTACGGGGAGGAAAGCGAGGGGACGGGGCCTGGGGCACTCAGCACACGCTGATGGGTGACGAGGGACCCAGGGACTTAGGAATCGGGGCTCAGGGTGTCTGGCAGGTGCTGGTGGGCGGTTCAGAGCTCAGGAATGTCCGGCCGCCGGCGGGGTTTACGAACGTCCATCAGGGGAGGGAGGGAGGGAGGACCGGTCACGGGTGATGGAGAGCCAGCGGCCTCCTGGCCCGCGGCCTGAGAGTGTGCCCGTTGGACGGCTCTGGTTTCTGGCTCGATGATGGCGGATGGCTGCTGGCTGGTAACGAGAGGCCCCCGCGAGGAGTTAGCGTTTGGGCTCCTTTCCCAGGCCCCTGGCGGAGCCTGGCCGAGGTCACCTTGGGGTCGGCTCCCCGAGGGACGGTCTCGGGGGACTCCAGTTCGGTCCAAGTGGGTGAAGTAACAATCTCACCTCTTCAAGGAAAAAAACAAGGAAAGCGTGTGCGATGATCCCGTTTCTAACAGGCAGATCAGGATCCTAGGAAGCAGATTCAGATTTAAAATCTCCGCGAGCGATGCTGGTAAATCTGTCCCGGAAGAAGTGGCGTTAGAAGAAGTTTATGTTTAAAAAATGTGGCTCTCCAAAGACATTTCAGCCGTTCTCTTGATATTTGGCTCTGAGGACTGATGAGTTTGCCGACCACTGGGCTAGCCCTAACCGGTGTGGCTCAGTGGACAGAGTGTCGGCCTGCGGACTGAAGGGCCCCAGGTTTGATTCCGGTCAAGGGCCTGTACCTTGGTTGTCGGCACATCCCCAGTGGGGGGTGTGCAGGAGGCAGCTGATGGATGTTTCTCTCTCATCGATGTTTCTAGCTCTCTATCCCTCTCCCTTCCTCTCTGTAAAAAAAATCAAATAAAAAAAAATCAATAAACTATATATTTTTAAATAAAATAAAATATTCTGACATTTAGGGCTTGGAAGAACGCCGATGGGTGTTTAGGAACGGAGTCCAGTTCTGGGCGGCTCTGCAGCGTCCTCTCCCCGGAGGGGACCACCGTGCCCTCCGGCCGCCGTCAGCCTGGCTGGTGATTAATTCCGTCAGGATCGGCGTGTTTTCCCCGAGGGCACGGCCGTGAGCCATGGCTTCCTGCCGCCCCCCCCCCCCCCCCCGGACTTCCTCCTCTTTGAAGCCGCCACATGTTTCCCACCGAGAGAGCCCTCCCGCCGAGACACCCTCGTGTGGGGTGCGTTTGACTTCTGAGGTTTTCGATTGATTTTAGAGGGAGAGGGAGAGGGAGAGGGAGAGGGAGAGGGAGAGAGAAACATCCATGATGAGAGAGAATCATGAATTGGCTGCTTCTTGCACATCCCCTACTGGATAATATATCTATCTATATCTATATGTATATCTATATGTATATCTAGATATATCTATATGTATACCTATATGTAAATCTATATGTAAATATATATATACATCTATATCTGTTTATGTCTATATGTATATCTATATCTATGTCTATATGTCTATGTCTATATCTATATATCTATATCTATCTATGTCTATGTCTCTGTCTATATCTATATCTATATCTATGTCTGTCTATGTCTATATATCTATCTCTATATCTATCTCTATCTCTATATCTATCTCTATCTCTATATCTATAGCTATATCTATATCTATATATCTATATCTATACCTAAATCTGTCTATGTCTATGTCTATGTCTATATCTATATCTATGTCTATGTCTATATGTCTATGTCTATATCTATATATCTACATCTATCTATGTCTATATGTCTCTGTTTATATCTATATATCTATGTCTGTCTATGTCTATATGTCTATGTCTATATCTCTATGTCTACATCTATCTATATCTGTATCTGTCTATGTCATGTCTATGTCTATATATCTATCTCTATATATCTATCTCTATATCTATATCTCTATGTCTACATCTATATCTATATCTATATCTCTCTATGTCTATATGTCTATGTCTATATCTATATCTATCTATGTTTATATATCTATGTCTATCTCTATCTCTATATCTGTCTATGTCTATATATCCATATGCATATCTATATCTATATCTATATCTATATCCATATCTATCTCTATCTCTATATCTATCTCTATATCTATATCTATATCTATATCTATATCTATATCTATACCTATACCTATACCTATACCTATATCTATATCTATATCTATATCTAATCTATATCTATATCTATATCTATATCTATATCTATATCTATATCTATACCTATACCTATATCTATATCTATATCTATATCTAATCTATATCTATATCTATATCTATATCTATATCTATATCCATATCCATCTCTATATCTATCTCTATCTCTATCTCTATCTCTATCTCTATCTCTATATCTATCTCTATCTCTATATCTATATCTA